TTGTGCAGGGCCAGGCTGGAGGCGATCTGGAAGGCGTTTCGGATCTGGCGGCCGTTCCAGCAGCCGGTGGAGCGGGCGAGGTCCTCGTAGTGCTTTGTGGCGAACTCGAGGATCTCGTCGTCCTTGATGGCGAGGGCGGGCTCGCCGGTCATCTTGTGGCGCTCCGACTCCATGACCTTGAGCTTGGCGATGTTGAGGCGGAAGATGTCGGTGGTCTGGGTCTTGTCGAGGGGCGGGTAGTAGAGGGAGAGGTGGATGCGGGACTTGAAGGCCTCGTCGATGGTGCCGACGCGGTTTGTGGTGAGGAAGAGGAGGCCGTTGTAGTACTCGAGGACGCGGAGGAAGACGGAGACGAGGGCGTTGCGGGTCATGTCCTGCTTGGAGCGCTGCGAGAGGAAGACGTCGGCCTCGTCGAGGAGCAGGACGCAGTCCCAGAGGTGGGCGAGGCGGAAGACGTTCTTGAGGCGGGACTCGACCTCGTAGGGCGAGAGGCCGAGGTCGCCGCAGGTGATGACGAAGAGGGGCTTCTTGTTCTCCATGGCGACGGCCTCGGCGGTGGCCGTCTTGCCGACGCCGGGGACGCCGTGGAGGAGGACGACGAGGCCGCGGCCCTTGCCCTGGATGAGGTCCTGCCCGGGGCCCTCGGTGGCGGCGTCGACGTAGCGGCGCTCGAGCTCCTTCTTGCGGAAATGGGACATGACGAGGCTGCGGACGACGTCCTTGTAGTCGCCGTGGATGCGGAGGTTCTCGAAGACACCGACCTCGCGCCGGACGGGCTTGAGCAGGTTGAGGTCGATGGGCATGAAGCGGCGCTCGCGCAGCGCGTAGGCGAACATGCGCTTGGGCAGCAGGACGAGGTCCTCGTCGCGCAGCTTGAGCGCCTGGGCGTTTGCCTCGAAGTTGCGGGTGCCGCGCAGGCGGTTGCGCAAGAAGGTGTCGACGGCGAGGTTGTCGCGGCGCTGGCGGCTCTCGACGCCGTCGGCCTTTTGGATAATCTCCTTTTGCACGTACGACCTGTTCTGGCGGGCGCCGTCGAACCAGCGCTGGATGGGCATCTCGTCCTCGGCGATCTCGCAGCGGATGGACTTGCTGACGGCCAGCTGGTGGAAGTCGGGCCGCCAGTTGGGCATCTTCTGGTAGGCCTCGGTGAGGTCGACGATGACGTCGCTCTCGACGAACTCCGGGTGGCGCATCTTCTCGTAGTACTCGTTCTCGAGGATCTCCTGGTCGGGCTCGTTGCGGTGCGAGGGCGGGTTGCGCGTCAGCGTCCAGGCGTTGTGCTGCTGGTGGCGGTCCTCGAGGTAGTGCAGGAAGCGGCGGCCCTGGGCCTTGAGCCCTTCGATGAGCTCCTCGTGGCCGGGCTGGTAGCGCATCGGGTAGCAGGGGAGCGAGTCGATGGAGCGCTCGCCGGCGAAGGCCTCGATCTCGAACTTGTTCTTGACGGCGCCGAACGTCGAGCCGTCGTGGTCGACGTAGTAGGCCGAGATCTTGAACTTGGTGGAGTCGTCGACGTCGTCGAACTCGTCAAAGAAGCCCCAGCCGTTCTTGGGGTACGACGTCTCGGGCTGCGGCGCCTGCACGCGGTAGATGCGCCAGACCTCGTGGTAGCGCCCGCCGGCCTCGACGGCGGCCGGCATGTGGATGAGGTCGCCGACGCGGAAGAGGGACCAGAGGTCGTCGAACTTGACCTTTTCGGCCGAGCTGTCGTCGAAGCGCGCGTACAGCGGCATGATCTCCTCGTCGATGAACTTGACGTAGCACCGCATGTCGCGGAGCGCCTCGGGGCTGTCCATGAGGCCGTCAAAGTCCTCGTCGGCGTTGGAGTCGACCGAGGCGAGGGACTCACGGTCATCGTCGTCGTCCTCGGTATCAGAAGACGACCCCTCGGTTTCATCGCCGTTCTCCTTGCCCACGGGCTCGACAATGACCTCGGCCTCCTCGCTGGAGGGGGTCTCGGAGCCCTGCTCGTCGGCGAGCTCCTCGTAGTCTGCCCACTTCTCCTCCAGCGTGGCGAGGACCTCTCGCATCTTGGGCTGGAAGTACACCAGGGCCTTGAAGGGCCGCATAAAGGTGCGGGGCGTCGACCGCGACTCGGTGTCGTTGAGGAGAGACGTCAGATGCCCGAGGACGGGCTGGGACTGGACGCGGATGCGCTGGATCTCGGTGTCGGACGGGAGCAGCTCGTTGCGCTTCTCGCGCTTCACCTGGGCGAGGGGATCAATCTTCCTCTGCTGGTTCCGGCGCTGGTCGCCGCTACCGCCGCGGTTGTCGTACAGGCTGAACCAGCTCTTGCGGACGCGGGCCGTCTCCTCGCTGCGGCGCAGGGCGCGCTCGCGCCGGATCTGGCCCTGGAGGCCCGGCCCCGCGACGAGGACCTCGACGGCGTAGTCGGGCTCGTCCTCGGGCTGAAAGCGGTTCTTGAAGTTTTCAAAGTTGACCTTGCGGACCTCGGGGATCTTGGGGCGCCACTTGGCGGCCACGCGGCGCCGGTCGGCGAGGATGCGCTCGCGGCGCTCGGCTTCTTCCTGGAGGGCCATCATGTCGATGTCGTGCGGGCCGTAGGCGCGGGCGGAGCGGCCGCCGCCGTTGCCGAAGCCGGTGTTGCCGGCGCCGCGGCGGGGGAGGGCCTTGCGGG